TAGCTGCCATATGCTATCAAGTGCCTGCCACTGAGTATGTGTGAATTTAATAATACTTTCTTTTTCCCTTTTTTTTTTTTTTTCTTCCCTGGAGGTTTTAAACTTGGATTTGGACCAGTTTTTCATAGGGACAACAAATGGCATTTGTCTGCTGCAAAAGTTACCTCCAGTCAAGCACTTCTCTCCAGAGTGGATCAGGCTGCTAAGGGAAACAATCATAACATTGTTTTTAAAAACATGATGCTTTAAATACACAGGTCTATTGTATATGACCATTTATTTAAGATCTGTAATTAACCTAAGTGAGATGGGGCCTTGTGCAGTACCACCCAAAAGTAAATTGGCAGGGTTGGATCATCCAACTGATACTGGAACCAAGACGATTTCTGTTTCTGAACCACACAAAAGTAGTTCAGGTTAGTAGTTAACAACCATGACTTGTAAGGACTTTTCAGAGTCCTGTATGAAGCAAGCTAGTTCTGGCCCTTCCATTTCCTGTGGGTGTCTTTAGCCTTTAAGAGCAGCTTAAAACTAAAAATTGTCTATCTTCAGACTGTGAGGCACAGACTTTGAAACAGCATTTCTCTAAACTCTAACACTGTGTGCGCAAAAGGAGGTTTACATCCTTTCAAACTATAAAAGCTGGACGTTTTTGTCACATTTTATTAATTTAAAAAAACAAAACAAAACATAAATTCAGAATGAAAAGAGTGAAGCATAATTATATACATAGAAATAAACATAAGACTAAGACCACAATAAGCACTGTAAAAAAAAAAAAGCTCGTCCCAAGAAGTGACTTGTGGATGTCATCTTATGTAAAAAGAGACCAAGAAGGAATGAATGTTCCCTCAAAATAGTAGCAAGTGAATTGTTTTACCCATGGACTCACTGCATGGACTGTGAAATGCAGCCAACTATGAACTCTCTAGGCCTGCAAAGCAGGAATCACCTAAAATGTAAAAAGCTACAAGTCTAGCAGAAATTTTCTGTAATGATGACTGAAAATGTATATCCCTTTAAATATCAGTGTGGGTGGATAACTTCCTCTGCTCTAAAGTGCTTCAGAAAGGCACATTCTAATAATCTAGTCTGACTCCTTTTTTAAAGTATGAACATCTTGCTTTATCATCTAAGTTTCCTCCCATACTTTTATACTGTGAGATAGTCTTTGGTTTTTGTCTGTTTCCCCTTTGGTATCCTCATTTGTGACTGTACAACCACCCATGCCATCAAACCACTCAGGATGCTTCAGTGCTAAACACACAGAAGATAGCCTTGACATGGGCATGCACTGCAGCCTCTCACGCACAGCTGGGCAGCTGCAATTACAAACGTTTCTGGGTGAGCTGACCCTCATGTGCAAACACACATGTTTATATTGTAAGTTCTTAGTGCAGAAGCTAGGTCTAACCAAACATTTGTAGAACATCTCACACAACACTTTCCCAGTATTGGCATGGACACTAGGTACCAAATATACAGCAGTGGAGACGTTGATTAAAGTATTTTTTTTCTTTCTTTATATTTGAGTATTACTTTGCTTTGTTTTGTGTGAAAATATGTCCTCCTTATACTTAAGGTCATTTACTCTTTAAGCACAAAGTAAGTTTTCATGTAATTTATCAGGTACACCAGTAATCAATTATAGGTTTAAATTTATGAAGTACTGTTTGTATTCAAATACACTTAACAGCAATGTAACACAGAAACCTCATATCCTCTATAACTTGTCTAAAGTAATTGAAATTATGTGCATAAATTATATGTGAAGAAACTAGGTGGTGATTAGCTTCAGCTCTATGACATAAGGTCAAATGTGCAGATCAGGGAACTTTCAGTGAAGTCCTTTTGACATTAAAAGTATTCAGTGAATTTAAATTCTTCTTGATGTATAACTGGCTGCAAGTATTTGATTGTTAGGAATGCCTCTTGAGTGTAGAAAGGATTCTTACTGCTAGACCAGCTTTAAAAGTTCTTCAATTATTCTGTTGATATTAGCAGGGTAGAGTATACTACAGTTTACTTTAAATCGATTTAATCTAATTGTAGGCCAAAACTACTAACCTTTCTTAGGTTCAATTCCATAATTACTATATAGCTTGCTAAGAGAATAGAGCTACATTTGTCTGAGGGCTTTTAGCAGACATTTCAAGGGTAACTGGAATTGATCATAATCTTCTAAGGGACCTACAAGTACAGTTTTGAGATAATTGAATTATTCATGTCTCAACCCTTATATCAGTGATACCTGATTTTAAATTCAACCCCTTTTTTACAAATTATTTCTGGTGAGGAATATAAATAGTACCTAACGATAACTACATTTACTAAGCTATAGTGTCACAACTGCAAATTTTCTTAACAATAGCTAGCTTTACTTCTCATTTATCTGTAGTCCGGTGTTAGAGAGATATTGCACTGCAGGTAGCCTTCTAAAAGAATTGCATTTGAGAAGCTAACCTTTGAGTGGAATAAACAGACAAATCCTTGCTTGACTTGTGAAACATAAGGACATACAAAACAAAGGCAACACTGATAAGAATTAAAATTAATGACTGCAAACCTCTGATACCACTGTAAATAAAGACAATTTAAGATAGAGCTGGTCCAACCCCTAAGCTAAAGGAAAAGGTCACAAAAAAATGAGAATATGCAATTCTTTAAAAAGAAGCAGTCATAGGTAAATTACATTAAGTGTAAAGTTTTAAGGCCAGTATTTCCAATAGATATGTTGCATAGTAAATATGGGAAACTCCCTTCTCACGGTAAGCAGATACTGTCCAAATGCATGATAGAGATACATTAGCAGACAAATCTAATGTTTGACTAAGTAGTAGATTACTGTTCCGTGTAAAAAAACCTAAAAGACAAAGAATGTAACATAATTCTATAGGTACTTCTCCAGTGTGATACCTACCAGAATGAAAGCCAAAGCTAACAGGAAAACTGATAGTCCTGAAACAATTTATTTTATTGTGTGGCTGAACTAATTTAAATGGTAATAATAGTTTAGCTTTTGATAAATCAAATGCTTTGATTTTCTGTCAGACTCTGTTGTATAAGGAAAAGACTGTCAATATGGCTATGGAGAATGGACATTAGAATGAAGGTCAAGCAAATGCTCTTTTAAGCTAGGCTCACTGAGAAGTACTTGTTGACTTTAGACACTTAAACTTTAGACACCTTTCTCAACTATTATTCTGAATATACCAATTTACTGAGCCAAATTTTTTTTTTTTTCTGTAGGTATATATAAAAGCATTTGTGGCTTTTTCCATCATGGATGGGCTTAACAGTAAGAGAATCCCCCTTAGGCATGCCCAGTTTGTTACTACCTCTTCAATTACAGTGCAGAAAGTTTGAACTGTAAAGGGCAAACGAGCAGGTTTACAATAACAATCTCTAGGCTTCTTGTCAAGTCTCTGATAGCAGATCCCAGAGGAAATGTGGTTTCTACTGTTAGTGGTGAGGTTTGCTTTTATCCAGCTCCTCTGAAAGCAGATTGATGGAGATACCATTCTTTCCTGCTTTGACATAACTACACATTCCAGGTGAGTGGTTTAATCACTGAGCTGTAAAGTGGTATCACTCTTTCTCCGTGTCCTAATCAATTATTTATGCAAAGTGGAGCAAGGCAAGAAACTCACCCCAGGATGTCCTGCAGCCCAAGGGCAGGGAATGCAGGGGTCCTGGTGCGTTACCCTTTTCTTAGTATCTGCTCCTCCGCTGACTGGAGGGCCCCTCTGCTTCCCCTCCATTGTGCTGGCAGTGTAGCTTGTGGGGCCACACTGTAGGCAGGATTAGGGGCCTGATCTGTGTTTAAATGATCCTTTTTTTCCTCTTTTGAGGTGGAATTACAACTTTGGTGCAATAAAGCCAAGCTGCATGACAGCTTTGTAACACCTGCTAATAAAGCTCCCACTGAAATCAACATCAGAATCAATTCCATATTTCAAAGGAGGCGATCTGTAACCAAGGCAAATGCCTTGGAGAAAGCATCCATGGAGAGATAGCTTATTCCCTGAAATTGAGTTCAATTTCAGAACTATGATGACAAAAAAAAAAAAACAAAACCAAAACACCACCCCCCCCCCCCCCCCAAGCAATCCGAATACCTTTTATATGGGTATAACTGCATTTACCAATGATTCTAGAGATGTAATGGTGTCTGGGGCAGTCCTTTTTACACAATACTTCATGGAATGGTTTGGGTTGGGAAAGACCTTTAAAGATTATCTAGTTCCAGCCCCCTGCCACAGGCAGGACACTTCACTCTAGACCAGGTTGCTCAGACCCTGTCCAACCCGGCCTTGAACACTGCCAGAGACGGGGCAGCCACAGCTTCTCTGGGCAACCTGTGCCAGTGTCTCACCACCCGCACAGTGAAAAATTTCTTCCTAATATCTTAGCTACATCTGCGCTGTGAGGGGTGTGCTGTGAGGTAAATTGCCTGGCCTGTGCCCCACTACCGTGCAGACTCTGCCGGGTGGGGACCCCAGAGAAGCCAGTAGCCAGCTTCCCGTGGGCAGAGGAGTGCCTCATCGCTGAGACTTACGCTGAGAACTGATAAACGCAACGTAAGAGTAACATTTCTCGAGGTGAAAGTAATTGTTCAGGTGGCGTCAGGCGCCACGAGCGTTTCTTAGCGGCTTCTTGAGGCAGGGCAGGGTGAGAGGCGCCAGCTACTCGCATTCAGGGCGCGAAGCGCGGGTTGAACGCACAGCGCCTGCCTGCGGAGCCTGAGCAGGAGCCGTCCTGACGGCGCTCCCCGGTAACCGCGGCTCCCGGCGCAGGGTCGGTACCAGAGCACCCTGGAGCGGGCGGGGCCACCCCGGCCCTCTCGAGGACCCGGCCCGCAGCGTCCCCTGGCGGTGCAGGCTGGCTAGCCGCCATCGGCGGCTCGGGTCTCGGCCATTGATGCCTGTCGCCGCTTGGAGTTGTGGCAGGCAGCACGAGTCGCGCACCACTGCCCGCCGGGCCGCCATCGAAGCCGCCTGTCAGCGCCGCAGCGCATGCGCGCTGGGCGCGTTCCTCCCGCTTCCCTGCGTGGCTGCCCCGGTGGAGCCGGGCTGGGTTTGTTGCTGCTGCCGCCGCCGCCTTGTCTTGCGGGGGAAAGGGTGCTCCCGCTGGGAGCGGGCCGCGGGAGGGCGGCTGAGGCGGGGGGTGTGGGCCTTGCCCTGCCCGGGTGCCCAGACCTGTGAGGGAAGGAGGCAGGGGCCGCGGCGGCGGCGGCAGCAGTAGCAGCAGCAGCTTCACCATGTCGGCGGCGGGCGGCGGTGCCTGCGGGCCAGGCGGCGCGGCCTGTGGCGGGGTCGCGGCCGGGTCGACCTCAGCGGCGGGTGGCGGGGTGTCCATGTTCCGCTGGCTGGAGGTGCTGGAGAAGGAGTTCGACAAGGCCTTCGTGGACGTGGACCTGCTGCTGGGCGAGATCGACCCCGACCAAGCCGACATCACCTACGAGGGGCGCCAGAAGATGACCAGCCTCAGCTCCTGCTTCGCCCAGCTCTGCCACAAGGCGCAGACCGTGTCCCAGATCAACCACAAGCTGGAGGTGACGGGGGCTGAGGGGGCTCCAGGGCTTCTGGTGTGGGGGCGATGGGCCTGGCCCCATGGTGGCGGCCTTCCTGTTCTTGGGAGTGCGGGGAGCAGCAGGGGAGGCCTAACCCGGCTCAGAGTGTTGGAAGGCCCCGCGGGATTCGGGCATGGCTGTGCTGATGCTTACAGCGTGGGCATGAAGTCGTGCGTCCAAAAAAAGTTGTATTTGATGTCGAAAGCAGAAGTCTTGGGCAACAGGTGCTGCTGACTCGTCTTCTGTTTGCATTGTCACTAGTAAAGTTGGAAAAGCTTTTAAAAACGGGACAAAGACATATATCATAGAATGGTTTGGGTTGGAAGGGACCTTAAAGAACATTTCCAAGCCCTCTGCCATGGGCAAGTACACCTTCTGCTAGACCAGGTTGATCAAAGCCCCATCCAGCCTGGCCTTAAGCACTGCCAGGGATGGGGCAGCCACAGCTTCTCTAGGCATCTGTTCAAGCATCATGAGACGTTCATAGTCTTTAAAGGTTATAGTCAGTAGTCAAAATGAGGCCATTATTCTGCTAATGAGTAAATGAAACAGAAAAATGGATTGGGGATGGACTTTGATGGGTCCTCTTGTCCCTTTGTACTCTGAGGTAGATCAGATAGCTCTCTGCCAAATTTAGTGTCAGAAAATTAATATTGAAGGTTGCACATCCTGTGAGGAGAAAAGTAACTGTCCTTGCTGTTGAAATTGTTTTCATTCCTAATGCAGAATTTGAGTCAGAGTGGGAAGAAAGAAGCATCAGCTGGAACTGAGCTGGCTGATGCTGCTCAGGAGGGACAACTGTAGGTCCTGTGGCTGGTACAGTAACTGGAGTGCTCTGGGAGGAGATTCTGGAGAACTTCATGGTTGTTTTGTAACTGTCCAACCTGAGTCTTCTTCAGTTTAGTAGGTGATGTTGTTTTGTCCTTAACAGGTGTTGGTATAAACTGCCCTCTTGTCTTTCTGTTACAAATAAGAAGAGTGTTCAAGTGACTTTCATCAGTTAGTTTTTCCTGGGTTAAACCCCTCCCAATATATTCAGTATCTCTTGTAGGCAATGCTTGTTTGAGTTTTACTGCTTGTTCTACTAACTTTCAAATATATGGGAGTAAGGGAAAAAAATCTGAAAAACCATGGAAATATATGCTTTGCAAGAGCATCAATAGACAACCACAGAATTCAGTTTTTAGTCCTTTGTGTTATGCTTATTATAATAAAGGAATTCAAGAGTCTTCAGACAGTAACCTGTTCTTCTGAAGGTCTGTCTTGCAGTAGGAAGTAGAGTAAGTAAATTGGTTTTGCTTTTAGTCGGGTTTCTTCCTGGTATGAAGACATTGTTATGCAAAATAATCCATAGAGTTTAACAGGGGAACAGGATATTTAGAGTAGAACAAAGACCTCATTAAGCTAGGAGCTTTTTTCATTGCAGTCTTTATTTCACCACAATACTTATTGTAGTTATGGCTTTGGTATTCTTTGTTTATGTTGTTATGTTGTCATATACATTTTAGTATTGGGTATGTATGTATTCTGTCAAGCTACACAGGATTAACTGTATAGGCATAGTAAAATAAGTTTTATGAGTTTATAGTAGACAATCAGTATTTATTGCATATTACACAGGGATGGTGGGTGTTGTGTACAGACTTGTGAAACAGATGAGTTGTCATGTTATTTTAAGAGAATGAGTTGATGCTTGGTAAATATTTCTTTGAAAAGTTGTTTCAAGCTTAAATATTTTGAAAGGAAATGATAAAGCTCAGATGCTGCAAGGTATTTTGGTATCTAATATAAACCATCAGGGGCACCTAAATAACTGGAGATGTGTGCCTCAATCTCAAGAAGAGCAAAGAAGCACACTTAGTATTTGTAATAGCATAATTATTGTCTATATTTAAGTGCATGAAGTAATTGTTTGATAAAAATGATGTTGTGAATTCAGAGTGAATGCTTTACAAGTGAATAAAAAGACTTTTATGAAATATTTTTATTACTGTAGTATTATTTGGCATCATACCTATAAAGGAGTTTTATCTTTCAAATAGACCTTTAGAAGGTTTAGTATTGTCCTGAAGGTTGTTAATTTTAGGACCTCATGATTATTAGAGCCATAAACTTGAAGTGAAAACCTCCATTTATAATGTCAAAAGAGATTCAGCTGTTCTCTTGAGAGTGTCTTGTATTTTATATGTACAGATGTCTAGCCAAACCCCTCAGTGTCCAAAATGAAGGCTACAGTTATATATTTTGAAAGAAGTCACTAACATTAATAGTGGAAGTCCAGAGAAGGGCAACGAGGATGATCAAGGGACTGGAGCACCTCCCGTGTGAAGACAGGCTGAGGAAGTTGGGGCTGTTCAGCCTGGAGAAGAGAAGGCTGCGTGGAGACCTCATAGCAGTCTTCCGGTATCTGAAGGGGGCCTATAGGGATGCTGGAGAGGGACTCTTCATTAGAGACTGTAGTGATAGGACAAGGGGTAATGGGTTAAAACTTAAAGAGGGGAAGTTTAGATTGGATATAAGAAGGAAATTCTTTCCTGTTAGGGTGCTGAGGCACTGGAATAGGTTGCCCAGGAAGGTTGTGAATGCTCCATCCCTGGCAGTGTTCAAGACCAGGTTGGATGAGGCCTTGGGTGATATGATTTAGCATAAGGTGTCCCTGCCCATGGCAGGGGGGTTGGAACTAGATGATCTTAAGGTCCTTTCCAGCCCTAATTATTCTATGATTCTACGTGATCAGTGGGCTTACTTTTTTTTTTTTTATAACGCAAGTTACTGTATTTTATAACTTTTAAAATTGCAGTAGTTTCCTAATAGCTCACAACTAACTTTACAATGCTTGTACATTTTAATACAAAGCTTTTATCACATTCATAAAAGTGTCATTAGTTGTAGTTTACTTGGGTACAAACGTTTATTCAAGCCAGTAAGTTAAATCCATCTTTAGAAATACGCCTTTATTTGGACTAAGATAATACTTCGAATGTGTCAGTGACTGTTAAAAGCTAAGATTTACTCTTGCAGCTGTATTTGCCTGCTGTTATCTTACTGATATTATTTCATAGAATCATAGAATAGTTGGGATTGGAAGGGACCATGTAGTTCCCATCCCTCTGCCATGGGCAGGGATGCCTTCCACTAGAAGGTTGCTCTAAGCTCTGGCCAGCCTGGCCTTGAGCATCTCCAGGGGTAGGGCAGCCTGAAGGAAAATCAAATTAATAATGTAAAATGATAAATATAATTCTGTTGTTCATGGGCTCCATTTCCTTGATGAGAATTGTCAGGTGTTATTACATACAAGAATAATGAAATGCAGTTCAGACTTTGTTTTATCAACTTTGTCAGCTTAAGATGCATTTTCTGATTGTTACAATTGCTTTCAAGAGGCACAGTGTAGATGGATTGGTAGATGGAAGCTCCCGCTTTAGGACTTTGGTGCAAAAAATGTTTTGTGATCATTGGTTCATACCTACTGCTAGAGAGATGAGTCTAGGTAAAATATTGTATGAGGGATGTTTCTGAATAGTGAAAGAAGTATTCCAGGAAGACAGTAGTTTCCAAAGAGGGAGTTACATATTGCCAATTCAGGGTAAGTTATTTTTAGAAGGAATTGGGATGTACAGTGGATGTATGCAGATAAATTTACTTGTGCTTTCAGGTGGTGAGAGGTTATAAACATACTACTGTGCTACTGACATTTACAGTCCTAAATTAAAGAAATAAAAGCAGGGGAGGTTTTGTTTTCATATTTTTCCTGTCAGTTGCAGTAGAACAGAGTTCAATTAAGTAGCTTACCAAAGAGGAGAGAAAGTGTTAGGTGATAGAAGCCACTGAGATTGGCTTCACTTCAGTATGAGCAAATGAAGAAGTGTACCTTGATGGAGAACAGTTAGGGCCTAAGGCTGTTAGGGCGGCCATTTTAAAGATGTTTTGTGATAATCTGTCTCTTGGAAGGCTTTGCAAATCAGCAGGTGCAGGCTGGCAGTCAAGCATGTGAAATTTCAGTAGATACTAATGGTGAGGAAGTTGATAGGATTTGTTTTTCCTGTTTGACTGTCACTTGAGGTGAAAAAATTCCATGGTGCTGACTGTGACATTATCTAAATGTCCATTTCAAAAAATAAAAGTTCTAAATAGGGCAGTGTTGTAGAAATAAAAGAAGTAGGCCAATGTGCCAGTGAAAACTGAGCTTGACTTTAATGCTGGCACTTTGACTGCCAATGTGATTCTCTAATTTGAAATGAACAAGCTGGAAAGGAATGTCTGGTAGAACACACCCTGTGTCTTAGTGGTTGTGTTAAGCCAATGTACATGCTGAAGTTAAGGGAAACATTTAAGTATATGTCTGAGAAGCCTATGTATTTTTATGTCCTTGAGGAACATGGAATCACTTAGCAGGTTTAGAGGAGCATGTTCCTGTAAGGTGAAATCTTCTGTAAGTAACTTGTTGCTATATTGGCTAAAGCATATGTAGAATTATGTAGGTAATCTGAAGATCCCTATTAAACAAACAAACGCCCCCCCCTCCCCCCCCCCCAGTCAACCAAAAAACCTGAGCGTAGGTGGCTGTATGTGCTTGGTGACTTATAGTGTGTGAGTCTGTCCTGTGGAGCACGCTGTAGAATTCTAGTCCTGCCTTGTTTAGCAGTACTCTCAGTATTTACTGAGATATTATCTTAATTACACTTTTAACTCTGAATACTTTTTCTGTTTTGGAATAGAAATCTGTTCATACTAGTGTTCTTTTGGAAAATCACTTGAATGAGATTTGATCCAGCTGATTTTATACCCTAAAGTGTGAGCAGTTTTCAGGTATTCAGGAAGTACAGGTTTGCATAAATTTTCTAGTTGGCTTATATACTAAATTGTCATTTACTTGATACATGTAACTTTTCTCACAATAATTACTCCTTTTTTAAAGGGGTCATTTATACTTAATTCATATTTTCCAGTATCAGAAGTTCTGGAAGTCTTTATGAGTTTAA